TGTATAGTTCTTCTGCCATGTTGTAAATTGTTTTGCTGTTTTCAGCAGTGTAACCCAGCCTCCTTAGCCACCCCCTTTTAAAATTCAACATGTTCCTGATTCTCAGTCTCTGAAAGAAACGTACCTTTTGCAGCCAATGAAGACAGAGGCATGCTCACAGCACAAACTGCACCACAGTGATAATGCTAGAGCTAAACACAGTAAGGCTTACGTTACTCTTTTGCCTTCACTTCTGTTTTCCTTAGTTTCTTTTTATTTCATAGCTTTGATGTAGCCTTATTCTGTTCTCCTTCCCTTCCTACTTTCTGTTCCTAACCTCACTACCTACTATTAACGCTTTTCCCTCCAGCCCCTGTCAGCCAACCTCTCTACCCACTGGTAACCCCTTTCCTGCCAGTCCCTATTATCCACCTTTCCCTATGGTAACCCCTTCCCTACCAGTCCCTGTTATCTGCCAATCCCTCTGGTCAGAAATTTTCAATTAAACAGAATGTTCAATAAAGGTAGTTTAAACATTAGATGACTCTTTACAGGAAATGTGTAGGGAAATTGTGCAAGTCACATGCAGGGAGGTGTGGCTATGAATGCATAAACAAAATTATTTAACTGCTAAATGACAGAGAATTGAGCTGTAAAAATTGCAGGGGCATGATGTACACACCCACACTGCTTTATTAAGCTAACGTTGCTTTGGGGCTTGTAGTCTACCGGTAAACCTGTATGTGACGGTAGTCACCATCACTGGGGATGGAAGACAGACACTATGGGTGGGCTCCCAAATTCCTTTTGTGTTTTGTCACATTGTGCCTATTATTTGTGCAGGGTATGTTGAATGTATTGCTGGTCTGTGCATCTCCCCCTCCCCCCTTTTCCCTGTCCTATTGTTTCCCCAGCAGGGCGTTGTCCCAGGGACACTGCCAGACCAGTTTAAACTAGCTGTTCTGTCCCTCCTCAATCTCCCATCATCCCTTGCTATTGTCTGACCCCACCCTTCCTGGTACTATAGTAATCTATGTAACCTATTGTATGTAAATGAGGCTGTTGGGGGCTTAAACTATGTGTGCTGGATTCATTAAAGAGTTGCTGTTTAACCTTCACCATGTGTCGTCTGGTGTTTGGTTCAGGGTGGAAAAGGCCCTAAGTGATCCCAGTCAAGCCTCGGCGTCTGGGTCTGAAGTGTTTCAGGGTCCCTGATAGCTACAAGGAAGCAGACTTGGTGGAGGTACTCGGTTGGAGTACTGGAGCTCCGTTACACTGTATTCACTATATTAAAAGTTACGGAGCATGATAAGTAGAGATCAAAAGAAATGGACATTGGTAATGATACTTTGGGGGTTTTGTTTGCTCAAAGAAAACATACATTACATGAATATACTTGCATGTATGTAAAGAATATTTAGCTGGTGTTATTCAACTGAGAAATGCTTAAAAAGCATTTTCTTCTGTTATAGCAATAAACAAATTCAATATATCATTGTCCTCTCCTATATCATATGCCTACACATGGAATTACTATAGCCCCCATAAAATATGTATGGGGAAAGTATTATTATTTAAAATAATTTATTTTTTTGCATAATGTGTAGGCAGTCAAATAAAATAACACGTAGGCTAGTCTTAGAAAACATGAAATACAAAGTTCTGTTTGGTAACTGGTATTACGGGTGTGAATGAAAAGTGTAATATGGCCATGTATAATGTGTGTGTGTGTGTGTATATATATATATATATTTATATATATATATATTTATTTTTTTAAATAAGTGAATGGAAGGTAAGTTTCACTTTTTTTGTTTAAAAAAGTACTGATACAAATTGTGCAATTTTCACTGCTCTATGGATCACATTGCTGTAATACATGGAATGGGTGCTAAATACATTCTGGAGTATTCACATTTTCAGTGTTAATGTGTGTCATTGTCAGGAAGCCATGCAGAGCATAATGGTAGTTACCATTAAAGTTGTTGAGTTGGTGTGTATCTTACTACTTTTATATCATAATATTTCTTTTGTATTTATCTGCTTAACATGAACTATGCTCTCTAGTATGCAGCTTTTAGGAATGTGAAAAGGTTCTATGCCAACAAGTGCCACTTTGCAGTCATTTCAGTGCTGTTGAAGCAGATTTTAAGCACACTTATTTCCTGCGGAGTTTAGAGATTCATTATTCATGACAAATGTTGAACAATCTGATTTCTGAGTTGTAAATTGTCTGAAAGTTTAATTTCATCTCTCGATTGCCAGTTTAGGACGGGAATAAAGAATGGTACATTCAATTGATGTTAGCAGCT